TGCTACACTAATTGGTCTATAGTGGGCTGCCAATGTATACTAGCTATATCAATAATGAATAAATATTAAGAATAATCTAATGTGTAGGTGTGAGCGCGCGTCTTCTACAAGAGATACACCCACATCCACGCCCACACCCTAGTAAATGAAGGATATTATAGAGACTACTTGTGAAACCAGTGATGAGTATATAAGGAAGAGTATAGATGATATTTGTAAAAAAAAATTAAATTAATTTTCCTATTAGACTGTGGCAATCATTGAGTCTACTAGGACTTATATATGTGAAATCAATTGTATTAAGTTTTCTGTAGCATATAATACATGTTAACTGCACTAAAAAACAAAGTAATAGGCGATCCTAACTGCAAGTTTTATTTCTGTTTTTATTCTAATGTTGAAATTTGGAAATTGTAGGTATACAAATAATTATCAAGCCGAGGAGCCGCATTAACTAAAAGGTAATATACTTTCATTTGATTCAAGTACGTGTTTGCTGTGTACCTTGTTATTAATTTAAAGAAACTAATTTTGAAAAAACTAACAGATAGAAATTTCCGAATGCTGTCTGAACAAAATTTTGAAATCATTCCGAACTCTCCATGACATTATGAAAAACTCACAACTTCAAACCCTAATAAATAAATATCGTGACATGCGTCTGCACTTTTTACCATTCAGATTTTTCAAGTTTATCCCAATATGTTTTTGCATGATTTTGTACTTGTGTATTGCAAAGTATTCGATATTTCTTAGAAAAAAAAACTCAACACTTTGACATTTAAAAAGAAAATAATTTCCTTACAGAAACAGTATTATTAAAAAATCTGATAAACAAATGCCATAGCATTATAAATAGCTGATATACATTTCGTACGTTGTTTTCATTCTGCTAGAGCTATATCAAGATCATATGGACAACCTGTTTTTATAGTATTTCACCGAAATAAAAATTCAATGTATCACGTAAATCCATTTTATATGATAGACAAGGAACACAACTATCATTTAATAGTAAGTAGAGAAAATCATAAACTCTTGCTGATTCTAGATTAACTTTTTATTATATAATTCCACATATTTATTGTATTGACAACGCTATAAATCTAAAGAAAATAAGGTTTTACGGATTAATAGATGAGATAAACTTACCAGTAATATCATTCGGTAATGAATGATATTAATGATTCCTTTGGTACAGAAAAACCTAGCGTTAACTAGAAGAATTTTGTTGACATTGAATCTCGAATAATTCTCAAATATACTTCACTTCTAATTAGAGTTGGTCGCACATAATACGTGCACATGATTTTGATCGTGGTATTCGACCAGCACCAACTTGAATCAATTTTTAAATATATTTGTATAATTATTTTCATCGAATATATAAAAACAAAAATACATACTTATATAATATATCAAATAAATATTTTTAAATGTAAATTCTTACTTGTACAACACTTCGCTTAGCTGCTGTCAGCATTCGTTTGATACTTAGATCAGATTTAAAAAGATGTATTGTGCCATCATTATCGCAATATATTTGCATACCTTCAAAAATTTTTTAAAAGTCAAGAAATTGAAAATGCTGTGAATCAAAAAGATCATCGACTTGTTTCAGTTACAGTCTCTTGTATCTTTCTTTAACAATAAATTTCGTCGTAAGTATAAACCAAGACGATAAATGAAAGGTACCAGCAAATAATGTTTTCTAAAAAAGCGAGAAGAAACTCTGCTAATTAATCACATCAAAGTTAAGCGCATATAGAAGAACTATGTTTGTTAACACATTGGCATAAGATATAATAACTGTACGATAGGTATATGTCACTGAGGATGAGTGTGCATGTAGTTATGATTGGGAAACGGAACGATGAGCACGAGGAAAGTTGAGCACATAGGAAAAATGAAAGTAAACATGAAGTCTATTGAAAGATCAATGGGTGAGGATGTGGGCGTGGGGTGAGCGTAGGTGTGGCACTGTAGAACGCAAATGAATTAAAAAGTAATTAAAAAAGCATTAATTAATACGAAATCATTGAAAATTGTTAAAGCAGGATCTACATGGTCTACCAGGGTCTTCAGAATCTTCATGTTCAACTATAGTTTGGGCTTATTGGCGGAAAAACGACTCACACTACATCTCTCTCGGTGTGGGTACCGTGAAATCTTAGCAGATTCTGGAGACCCAGATAGATCCTGAAGAACAGTGTAAATGATACTTTTTGTAATCCATTTGTGTCATGGTCTCGGGTGTAGGTGTGGAAGTCGGTGTGATGTATTTATCCCAGAGGACAACATTCACTCCCAAACCCATACCAACACCCACACCCCAACTTGATATTTACTTTCACTTTTTTTATGTGCTCAACTTTCCTCGTGCTGAAAGTTCCCGTGCTTAACTTTCCTGGTGCTCATCGTTCCCGTGCTTATCGTTCCTCGTGCTCATCGTTCACCAATCCGTTATGAGTGGATCGGTGTTCATGTGAATATTTTTTTTAGGCTCAAGTCCGCAGCCCACACCTTATGAGAAACAATCATCAGTTGATCAATGACTGAAACCCACAAATACAAATAACAGATACCTTAAAATTCAAAACTTTAGAGGCAACAACTTCAATGATTACTAATTTCTGAAGCTAAATCATATCTAAATAATTGGAAAAGTCCTTCTGGTCACGAAAAATCAGGAAAATGTGCGAATTTTCTTTTTTTAAAATTTTAAATAAAACATGTGTCACAGTTGACATAGGAATTCAGTTGAGTTTGGAATGCATACTAATAATATGCGTCACACGATAATTAATGTTTGTTTACTATTGTATTCAACTTTTGTAATTTTAGCGATTCTAAATGATTGGTCGAACTTCTATGATTTATTTTGAATTATTTTAAAATATTTACATATAGAAAATTTTTATTTTTAATCATTCTTATTTAGTGAGCATTAGAATTTTATGAATTTTATTCATCTTCTTATGATTAATCGGTTGATGTTCGTTGCTATGGAACATTCAATCAAGAAACACGTTCTATGTCTGTTTGTTTTTAATTGCATAAATTTTTTTATGTAAATCTCTTACAAAAAAATGAGCATTTTTGATTCTAAACTGCAATCTTACATTGATAAAATTTCTCACAATAAGTCTATCGAATAGATAATCAACAATCCGTTTATAGTCCAATTATTACTCAATCAATCGACAAACAGATCGGGTGCTATTCTAAATAGCATGAATCATTCAATTTCAATCTTTTAACAACAAATTTGCTAACACTAAATATTTAACCAATCATTCAATCCTCCCATATTAAGAGCATTGAAGAAAAATCTATTCTATACAAAACAAATAGCTCAAATACTCACGGTTTCGTTTCAACCAACCATTCAATATTCCCATATCCCGCTGCTCGAAAAAAAATCTATTCTATAGAAAAAAATAACTCAAATATTCTCGATTTCGTTTCAATCAATCATTCAATGTCCCCATATCCCGCTGCTCGAAAAAAAATCTATTCTATAGAAAAAAATAACTCAAATATTCTCGATTTCATTTCAACCAATCGTTCAATGTCCCCATGTCCCAAGTACCGATATAGAAACTACAATATAAGGAAAATGATGAGTAAGATTTACTTTTAGAAGAAAACAATAAATAGAATGACGAATGGCTTTTCATCAAAAAATAACAGTACGAAGACTCTTTTTATTGTCCGAGAAGTAATAGTAAATATAAATTTGACAAGAAACAAACAAGTTTTCTTGAATATGTGTTAGAAAAATTTTTAAACAAACAGAGTGAACTAAGTGATTTCAATCCCAACTAGGTTCCAAACTCAACTGCAACATGTGTTCTTAAAAGTGACTAACATTTTCACTGCTCTCTTATGTTAATCAGAACAGGAAAGAAGAAAAAACGAATTAAAAAGTAAACATGCATCGTGACATATATGAAAAAGGGAAGTGTACGAGAAAAAAACATTATTCATTATCACCCCAAACATAGGCAGAAGGTAAGTAATAGTCAATGAAGAAACTTGACTTTTAGATGTTGTTCCCTGTAACTATAAACATATGTTCTTGTGATTGCATTAATGTTTATTATAAATAAATCTCATCTTTTCTAACTCGATAGACTGAATTCAGCCAAAGCTAGTATTCGATGCCTTCAACGATTGTTAGATTATGAACTAGACAAAGAATTCTTAGTCATCACGCGAAAAGTGCATCTTATATAATATTGTTTCTTTTACAAGATGAAAAAGGGCTTTCATCACCATAACTGTTCTCGAAATTCGGATAGAATCAAACAGATTTAAATACTCATGAGAGAAAAACATCATCTCATTTCTGATCTATTTGTAAAATACAATGGGACACCACGAGACGTACCTAATGATGCTAATTACAATATCTACTTTAGTTTTGAACCTCTGCAAATAGGTTACAAATAATGGGACAGAAAATATCTAAACTGTGCAATTGTGTTTGCAATCAAAGTTCTTCCAACCAATTACAAAATGTTTCTTCTGTGGGCAATAAAAGCAAAGAAAATTTATGTATTCTGCCACAGCCGCCATGGCGTCATATAAATCAATTCGATATATGGGCACCATGTAATTATGAAGAAGATTTAATTCTTATTTGGCTAGATGAACAAATTGATATTGATTTAGAAAATACAACTCAAATGAAAATTTTATTGGAAAAAGTCAATAAAGAGACGATATTATTTTCGAATAAAAATAGATTTATCGAATTTATCGAAATGTTAACAGATGAAACGGTATTTCTTATTATGTCTGGGCAAGTTTCTGTCGATGTATTATCATTTGCCGACAGGAAAGAGCAGATTCATGCAATATATATATTTTGTATGCAAGATAATTATTATAAAAGCTTAATCAACCATTATTCGAAATTGCGTCGTGTATACAATCATCATGTAGAACTTATTCTTGAAGTACAGAAAGACATTGATATTTACAAGAAACAATCAATGAAATTCAATTCATTAAGTAAAGATGAACAAAAATCAATTACTAACTTATCTGTTGAATCGGCCTTATTTTTATGGAGTTATATACTTAAAGACGCTTTGATTGATACTGATACAAAAGATGATGAAAAACAAGTCATGCTTGCTTATTGTCGTTCACAATATCAATCAAATAATTCCATGTTAGCACAAATTGATGAATTCGAACAACATTATCAATCGAAAGATGCTATTGAATGGTACACAAAAGATTCATTTGTGTACAGATTAGTGAACAGATTCATTAGAACAGAAATATCAATGCATTATTATATCTGAAATTTTTCATCATGGATCTCTCTGCTTGTTTAAAATTGAAATGGGAACAGGACTATAATCAAAAATCCCATGAACCCATCAAGGTCTATCGTGGTGCTGAACTAACAAAAACGGAAATAGAGAAGCTAAAAGCTGATAGTCTAATCTCACCAAATGGTTATTTCTCTACAAGTGAATCATTGGAAACAGCCAGCTTGTATGTAGTTAATACAATATTTGAGATTGACGTTGATCCATCGGTAGGAAATTTAATATTTGCTAATATTGCTGAATATAGTCAATATCCACAAGAACAAGAAATACTCTTCGATTTAGGATGTACATTTAAAATTGTTGATGTCACTTATGATAACTCTACCCAACAATCGATTGTTAAAATGATCGGTGTAAATGAAGTTGAGCAACTTTTCAGTGATTTCGTCAAAAAGATAGAAGAGACAAAGAAAACTAACCGATATTTTGATGGTTTAATCAATGATTTCGTAAATAAAATTGGCTATGAACAAGGCATTCGTTTATACGAACATTTGCTGAGACTTTCAACAACTGACGAGCAAAAAATTCATAAAAAGCTCTTCAGATTTGTTAACTTATACGAAAAATATTGTGGTACTTCAAATGTAGCTATACTATATGGTTGTTTCGGATGGTTTTCTACACAAAGAGCAGATTATGATTCAGCTATTGCACATTGTACTCGAGCATTATCATTAGTAAAAAGAAAGTCATCGAATGACAATATGACAATTGAAATTGCTATGATTCACAATACAATCGGTTGGAGTTATTATGAAAAAGAAGATTATGAAACTGCATTGAACTGGTGTCAGAAAGCGAGAAAGATATTTAAACAATGTTCATACGTCGAAGATTCAAAATATGTCAGAATTTTACGATCCGAACAAAATTTGAAAAAATCTCCATCACGTAATGCTGTTGAATATGCCGAAATTCTAACCAATATTGGATGCATTTGTTATAAAATGAATGATTTCGATATAGCAATTTTTTATTGCAAAAAGTCCATGAACATTTTCGAACAATGTGATCATGAAATCATATTTGATAATCATAATCGAATGGCGATAGCATCGAAATATAAAATTGATAACCATCATGAAACGATTGCAGCTAATTATGAAGTTTTTGCTGATGTCTACTACAAAAAGGAAAACTATGTTCTTGCACGTGAATATTATCAAAGAGCACAAAATATATTTGAAACAATAACACCACGAATACCGATCTGTTTGCAAAGATCGCCATCTATTTTCGGTCGAAATATAAAACGTTTGCAAAACTCTATTCGAATTACAGAACAAGCACTCGTTGCCAACAAGCAAAATAGTACATTACAACAAGAAAGAGAAAAAAAGAACGTTTTTTAAACTTTATTTCGACATTAATTGATCGATTAATAATAAAATTCATGGCATTATCGTGCAGAATCTTACTCTACTTCCAGAAAGATTTAGTCAGCTAAAAAATCGAGAGAAACAAAGAGATAGGGGAAGTAAAAGATGTTCTTTTTTTCTTTCTTTACAAAAGCACTTCAGTCATTTTCTGTCTTCTTTTGGGAAATAACGACGCTTTATTGTACAAAGAGAATGTTTGAAACAACAATATAGATTTGTCCTTGATTGTGAATTGTTTTCAAGTTTTCGACATTTTTTTTTCTTGTGAGTGATCACAGAAATGAGTAACATGAATTTCGGCCCAAGGCATTTTCGTCCCGGGCTTTCGGACCGGATCAAAAATTCATCGGAAATTCGGACAGAACTTAAACGAATTCATCGCATCGATTATTACAAAAGGTGTAGTGCTGAGCAGTACGTCGTAGTGCGAGTGTGCATGGTGTGGATATGGGGGTGGGGGTGGGAATTACTAATTTATGCTAACACCGCAAACACCCAACTTTGTAAAAACACATATGGGTCATCTTCACTAACACCCACAACTTGGAGAGTTATGTGCACAAACACCCACTAACACCCGCTTTGTCCGACTCCTAGAAAAAATAAACCATCAACAAAGACCAAAAAATGACCCCCTTCAACACTAACACCCAAAATCTCACTTATAGTCCACACAAGCACCCCAAGTTGTATTCACTAACACCCACAGAACTCAATAATCTATATTCTGACCCGAATAAGTGCTATCCCCGAATAACTTTTTCTGATAAACTTTTCTCTGGAAACACATCATACCAGTCCAAAAGTCCTTATATTCACCCACTAACACCCAAAATCTCGCTTATAGTCCACAGAAACACCCCAACTTGTATTCGCTAACATTTTCGAGCTCTAACATCACGGACATGACAGCCACCTTAACAATTGTTTCCTTATATCATAGATCATGGCAGATATAGTTGTAAAACTAAAGTCTAACACGGGATTATTGGTAAAAGCATATTGGATTTAGGGTACATGTTTTTGGTTTCCTTGTCAAACTAGCTATACGTTGTTTCGATTAACATCTTTTATTAGAACATACATTAATAGTAATAGTACGTTGCAATTGGGAATCCACAAAATATGTTTCAGAATGTGTTATTTAACATTTTCTTGATTTTAATGAGTAAACTTGAATTACAAGAATATCGTATAGTTAAACACCAATTTAAAATTAACAGACAACAATATCTTATTCAAGTAAATTTATATATTTGTGTTTTTTTTTAATATTAATTCAATATATTTTAAGGTTCTTTATGATGAATTTTATTTACCAATACAACGTACACCATATGGTCGTACATGTGTAAAGAAATCTTATTTAAATATTTTAGTTGATAAACATCCTTTACCGCAATTAATTACAGAATATCGACAAGTTTTAAATGCACTTGGTCGATGTATTGATCGTTTTGAACAAGTTTAAAAAAAAAACAATACGTCTAAAAAAAAAGAGTTTTTTTTTTCTCTTTTAGTTTAATATATTAATGAACCATCAACTAAACCACAATCATTACAACGTTTACGAATTGTCATTCTTTTTACAGCAATTGAACGTATGATAATGATTAATCCACCATTACAACATATTCCAAACGCGTTTTATTATTGAAACAATGAAAAATGAATCAATAGTTCAATTGAGACAAATAATTATCGCTTGAACAGGTAATGACTAGACTATTGTATATAAATAATTAAAATTTGAAAGGTGGAAGGTAACCTCGCTATACTCATCGTACCCGGATACAAGTATACAATAACGATACAGATAATATCCTGCATTATATTTTTCTTTTTATATCATTTGATGCGACCTGTTATTGTGCATATTTTAAGCGTACGTTCAATGAATTGAATCATTGAACACTAAGTACTGAATATTATTGTTGTTCTGAGTTTAATCCATCATTCTGTATTAAAAAAAAGATGTACTTACCGATGAAAAATATACGATCGAAAATGTTCTAGACACTTTGTAATCGATAAGAATTTTTATCGGTAGTCTAGTTGAGTATGTCGAGTATATATAGTATCTGATGTATGGAGAATCCGTTTTTCTTCCTTTTTGTTTAAAAAAAATTTTTTGAAGATTTAATATGTGAAATACGATCGAACTTCTTCTCTCGAAAATGAGACATGACCTATGATTTCAAGAAGGAAGAAGCAATGTTACATGGCTTACTTCTGTCACGATCTGTGATACTTTTTGCCTGATGTCTGTCATAATCGAGGGAAATACAAATTTCTATCCTATATATACTTCAACACGCCTTTTAGATCGTATTTCACAATAGCATTTAATTAATGTAGAATTTGATTAGTTCATTAAAATGTTTATTTAACAAATAATCTTAGATACTATAATATAAAACTTGTCTCACGATGCAAGCGATTCCGTAATTTCGCAGGTCCGTGTATCGTCAGTAATGAAGCTGATAAACTTCTAATGATTCATATAAAAAAAAATCTCCCTTCGGAATATATTCGTAACCCCTAGGAGTTCAATCGACAACAAGATAGATAAGAAAAAAAAACCAAACTACGATATTTTGAGTTCTAAATATGCATCGTATTATTGACTGAAATGTCAGTTAATAAGTCTGAAAGGAAAATCTATGACTGTAAACATTTGTAAAGCCTTTTAGTTTGATTAAAAGTCTTGAAGTTTGTTCATATTAGTTCGAAGCTGGTTGTCGAGTAAGTCAAGAATCAACTAAATAGTTAAATTGTCAAAAAAATCTATCTTGAGTTAAACAAATGCCTTAGATAACAAAAGAAAAATGAGTATTATTATCACAGGCTAAACATCATTAATATTGAATAGATTCTCTCTCCAATAGAATAAAGAAACATATTAAAGATATTTTGAATAATTAAACGATCATTGGAGACATGGAATGTTCTCAATTAGAATAACAATGATTTGTAAATAGAAAATGAAATTTTTATAATATCAATATATGTATAAAATACTTTCAATATGATTTACTCATTTGAAAATCTTATTTTAAAGAAATGATTTTAAATAACAATTTAACAATCAACTGATTTGATAATAGTTTTCATCTATGCTTTGAGCAACTTTGTCTTTTTCGTAAAATCGTTTTTTTTTAAACGTGTAATTTATTTTTCAGGATTTCAAATTATTTCATTCGATTATTCTCAATTAGAATTACGTGTACTTGCTCATGTTGTTTAATGATGATAAATTAAAAACACATTTACCACATGATACTGATTTTTTTTTATATTACTTGCTGCAGATCTTCTTAAAACAACATAAAATAATATATCATTAAAAATTTAATGAATTTGATGTACTTCAAGGACAGTTTCTTGAACCATAAGATATTGTTGTTAACACCCATGGTTATGAGATATTATTACCAATACAAGCAATCACCATATACAAATATTTTATTGAAATAGAATATTCAAAATTTTTTTAGGGGAAAATTTCAAAGAAAATGAATTTTTCCGTGTTACTAAAACGCTTTCATTTTCAAGTTGGTGAATATGATATGTGGAAAACATGAATCAACAACTGTTATATTCAAATTATGTTGCTGTATTTCGTTAATTAGGTGATGGTGATAAATGAACTTATTCATCAATAACAGAAAAATTTTGAAAAAAAAATAATAATAAAAATGAAATTTATTTATTAATCTTAAAATTATGTGAAGAATTTAATGAATATTTATTTGGATTTGGTGATAAAGATTTAAATCTATACTAGTAAGTTTTGCAAAATTCAATTTCGATTAGAAAGAAGACCAATGCACACCGAATGGTGTGTTTGTAAGCCTTACTGACAAGTCTTCTAATGATCTTTTCTCGCACCGCCTGCACAAAACATAGTTTGAAATCGATGAATTAAATGAATTTTTATTAAAAGATTAGAAAATAAACCACGTTTTTGTGAATTTTTTCACATCATTATCTGAATAGTTGTAGTAAAATGTGAACAACTGTTGATTGATTTCCGTTAAATTTGTAAGCGCTTTATCCTTTATATAGCATTTCTCTTACAAATCTATATAAAAAATCCAGTTTCCAAATTTCATTCGATATTTTATTTTTAAAAAAGCTTGACTTATAAGATTCTGATAGATTCGGTAGAAAACTTCTATAATACGTTATCTGATATGTCCTCATCTCTTCTTTGCATAAGTACAAGTTGATGATTTCTATTCTTATGTCTTTTAAGATTCAATGAAATATTCTATTTACTTTGTTTTTTTTTCTTCTATTACTCTTCTTATTGTCTAGGGCCCATGCTCGAAGAGAAAGAATATATATGTATATATTCTTTACATGTGTATATTACGAATGACAGAGAGACAAGTTACTTTTATTCGATGAAATAAATAGACAACATTCTTATTCTTTACATTTAACATTCTAATCATATTCATCTTGTATTGCACTTTGTAAAGATGAAAATTTTTCCATTTTTGGATCTTTTATACGAGGCTTCGGAAATTTTAATGAAAGAAGGCATTGATCTTGTAATCATTCTTCTACATTGGTACTTTGTGACAAATGAATTTAAACTCTTCTTCAATAATGTACGGACTATATTATCTTATTTTCTATTTTTAACTTCTTTATATTTTACTTTAGAAATTAACTGAAAAACTATTATATAACAAATATGATACTAATGGAATAATACTAGAATATTTAAAGAACGATATAAGAGTATACGTCACAATTCTTCAAAATTCTAAAAATGATTGTACACTAGATATACGTGTTTGTGTAAGTTGTACAATCAACAATCAATTGTTTAAAATGGATTTTTATATTCTAGAGTAATATTAAACCGAAACCAGAAGCATATGTGAATATCGAACTCAATAAACACGTCGTAAATCCTTTTCTTGACTCAATGAAGTAAGTCTGTTTAATTTTGCACTATTTTTAATTAAAAATTGTTCTTTATAAATTCTATTTAGTTCTTTGAAAAACAAAGCTAGTTTAATACAACGATTCGAATTGGTATTTCGATCTTATATTGATAAAACAGAAGATGTAACAACAATCGATGATGATAAACAAACAGAAAGTCGTATATCAACAATAACCAAATACGAATATATTAAACTAAATAATAAACGAAGAGTAGCAACAACAACAATAACAACAGATGATGATGAACAAACAGAAGATTTATCAGTAACAATTAAAAACAAATATATTAAACCAAGTAATCAACAAACAGTAACACCATCAACATTTGCTGATGATGCTGAGGAAGACGATGATCCTGTTACAAAAGAAAGAAATCGGTAAGAATAACAGAATAACATGTTTTCAGTAATAATGGTATATTACATGTAACTAAATGATTTTCTACCTTAGGATTCATAATTTCTTCTTGGGACCAAGTGAAGAAAAGTCATGAGTCTAAACCTGAACAATGAAACATTTCATTCCTACAATGGCTACTTCAAAATTTTTCTTTCAATAAAAGAACTTCTTCATCATCAAGTGAACAAAATTCAAAAAAGTTTTTTTTTTGTTAATTCTTTTTCTTATTTTTATGTAATTGTGATAATCTCTAATAAAACATAATGATTGATAAAAATATACAAATTTAACAAAATAGAAAATAATTAGTTGTAAAATTTGATCCAACATGATTGGTAACAACATCTAACATTATCCAAGTATGAAGTTTATTTGCTTCATCCATTAAACTTTCTCACTTCTAAAATTGTCATTTAATTGATAAATGTAATTTTGCCAACACCCATGTCAACCAACCCCAGAGTTGTCAGATCAAAAATACAGAAATCGGATTTTTTCGAGTAAAATTTGAAAAAAATTTACGAAGAGTAATTACATAAAATTTGAATGCATAAGTTGAGGCTTTCTATCATAAACATACTTTTACTGTTTTACATTTATTCATTTTTATACGTATTCGTCAAAAGTAAAGAAAACACAATAGCTACTGCTTTTTAAAAGACAATAGCATGTAAGAAAAATACATCATACGTATTTCAAATTCTGCAACCACTAGATCAATAATCATCCGATTACGATAATGTAACCATAAATGTTTTATGTTACTAAACATTGATTTAACATAAACATTGCTGCATAGAAACTTTTAGACTAAATTTAACATTATTACTCCGTTATCGGTCTCCAAGTGCTAAGTAAGCCGAATGATTAAGGAAGAATAAAGATGGAGTAGAGCAACCACTAGTAACGATTTTACTAAAAAAAGCTTGTTAACACATCCCTTTCGAGACTGAAATGTGGAACTCACATGTTTCACATAATCAAATGTCCGCGCCAGAATTAAAGATGGGTGGGTATAAGCTCAATAAGTCGACAACGGCAACAGCTAGCGACCTGCAGTTTTCAGCAATCGATAGAGGACTAAGGAGGACACATGTTTATATAAAAACCAAGGATCAAGCAAACAGACACAATGGGTGTAATTGTGGAATCACTGAAAGAATAGGCTCGTTAGTTGGTGAAATCTGAGCAGATCAAGCTGAAACTTTCAGTAT